GTTAAAACTTGAATATAAAAAAGGAACAGCATGTCAAATTGATCAGTTTGCCATGATCCATGCTGTCCATGTATACAGTCTCCACCATGACTTGCTGTGCTGTAAGACGATGCTCCAGGCTCCACGATCAACCATTACTTTAAAAACACAGTCCACAGGAGTGAACAAAGAGCGCTATGGGAGAACGACACTAGCTTCTTAATATGCAAATTATATGTAAATTACATGCTCAGTGCCCCTCCCCTTGACACCAAACAGAAACAGAAAACTGTAACTGAAAAAAGACTGTAGGAAAAATTTGACTGAAAAAACAAGCACGAAGAAAACATCAAAAAAAGTGGTACTGAGAATCGCATCAAATTGCCAAAAATATCAAAATAAAAGATACAATTCTGAGTATCCATGTATTATTTTACAGAAACACATGAGGAAATGTGTTTCTAAAAGACTCATCCGTGGGATTAAATAGTTCCCTGATATTGTTTCTCAGTAGAACAAAACTTTTCGTATAGAGCTTATTTCCTCACAGAATTCAATTAAATTAGCCTATGCGTAGCAACAAGCATGTCACATTTCCTTTGAATTTATGCAACGTGCTGAATGTAAACAGATGAATGTCTGGCAAGACACATTTTTTTACTTCTGGCAAGGCACTATGTGAGATATGAGACTATGTGTGGCATCTACAATGACGCATTTCCTCAGAATTCTTGGAAGCGTGCACAACCTTCACATCAGGATGCAGGGGATCAGCGGCATGTTGAACACACACAGATTAACATCTACCATTTATAATATTACTTTACCTGACCTTACTTTGTAAGGCTGAAACCCTGTGGTATTATCAATTAATGACATGAATTATGAGCATTAACTGACCTAGTTTAATATTACAGGTAAGACGTAAAGGTATTATTATATGTGGACGTTAAGCTCTATTTTACTCTACATTACTTAAATCTCAATATAATATAACAGCTTATAATCACCAATGCAATAGGGTCTGACCCCTATATTTAAAGTAGTCAGGTTAACTTGAAAATCAACAATTGTTAGCTATATGATACTTAACTAGAATATTAAATATAATCATATACTTTGCAACTCATTTATGATTATGGGAAGACCAACCCAGGTTGTTTTTTTTTTTACATAACCAAAATCAGTCTGACTGCAAACAAAATGCGGTTTTTGTTTTGCACTGAACTCCAGATGGATGCCACTGAGAGGGTGTGGAAGCACAATCAGAAGCATCTTTGAAGTCCACTTTCCCTAACTGAGAACCTGCACGAGCCTGTACCAGCATCGACCCAACAGGTCGCAAGGGGCTGGAGCCTATCCCAGCTGACTTTGGAGGAAGACAGGGTACACACTGGACAGATCTCCAGTCCATCACAGGGCCAACACTAAGACAGACAACAACGCACATTCACACCTAGAGACAATTTAGAAGCACCAGTTAACCTGAGCACATCTTTAGACTGTGGGAGGAACCTGAAGCAACTGGTAAAACACACGCAGGCACGGGGATAACATGCAAAGTCCACAAAGAAAGACTCTAAACTCCATGCAGAATGCCCGAGGACAGTGCAAGCCAGTGCACCACTGTGCCACCTGTACCTGCTATTCTAAGTAGCACAAGGCGTGGTCTACGGATGTGTAGGTGAAGCAAAGATGGCAAAGAGCAGGGTTCCAGACTAATTTTTCCACTGGCAAAACACCTCACTTGCTGAACATCTGCTTATCGATAGACACTAAATTTATCAATGTTGCTGAATGCCTGCCTAGCTGATGCTTGGTGGCTGCGGTGTGCTGAACGAAGATTACTTTGAAAAGAGTGAAATAGTGCGTTCTAATGTCAGAAGATGACCAAGGACCTGTCTTTCTCCACCAGCTGCATTTATTTTTGGAATACACAACAGCTGAGCTGCTTGTTTTATGCATCAGGCAGGACCAGACTGACAAAGTTAGAAGTTATAAAAGTTCTACTAATTTACACCAATATAGCTAATGCAGTAGCTGCCCATGCCAAGTACAGTGATACCAAAACAGTTTCATGATTTACTCGCAAAAATGCAACAGCTTGAAATTTTAATTTGCACACTCAAAAAAAAAAAAAAGTCACAAATGCGACCATTATGGTTGCACCCTGGAGCCTTGGTACAGATGACTGGGACTGTTGGTGCAATAAGCTTGGTCATGAGAAGCTGACAAGCCAATGATTAACTTTCCTGTACCACACTAATACGAGTTTTATCTATGAAGTGTGTTAGAAAAGTTCCAGGACTGGTGTCACAAAAAATATTTTTCAAACCCAAACGACGAGTTTTCCCCTTCAGATGATCAACCAGCACGTCTACAAAGAGATCCTGCTGCATTTGCTTCGTTCAGTCCACAAGAAGAGGCGAGAGTTGTGGCAGGACAAGTCGTGGCTGCTTCACCATGACAATGCCCCTGCTCACAATGCCCTGAACATCCTGGCTGAGAAGAACATCGCTGTGCTGGAGCAACTTCCCTACTCACCCCACCTGGCTCCGTGGGACTTTTTCTTCTTCCCAAGCACAAGGGGGTCATCAAGAGGATCCGTTTTGAAGACATGGATGACATGAAGATGGCTGTGACGACGGAGCTGTGGAGGATCCCGGAAGAATCCTTCCAGGAGTGCATGGCAGCGTGGCAGAGAAGGCTGGGAAAGTGTGTTAGGGGGATTACTTCGAAGAGGAAAATTTGTAGTTTGGATTTGGAACATATCTTTTGTGACACCAGTCCTGACACTTTTCTGACACACCTCGTAGCTACCCTAAACATAATTGTTTGCAATTGCCGTCTGGACATAATCACAGTCTGACGGTAAGAACAAATCACCAACCACTGAGTTTTATAACCTGCATGAGAGATCTCTGAAGAAGAGATGAACAGCAGGAATGATTTGCATATAGATTGATGTAATGTAGATCTAGGTGTAGCAGCGAAGTGGTGAGCATGAAGTGGGCAGAGCGAATGAATGCTGCCGCAGTTATAAAGCATGCTAAGAGGGTGGGCTGGACTCAAGTAGTAAACGATTGGACAGGAAAGGGCCTTGTGAGTCCTTGACTCCGTGCCTGCCTGAACTAACGCAAAGGTCCACTTCATGTATGCTGCAAAAGCAAGAGAGAAAGAACGAGACACGTGAAAAACACAACAAGGTTGTAGAGGTGAAATGTACGGTCATATCAAAAAGTCAACACATCCCATGGAAGTGGTCGGCATTTTGTCCATATCTGAACAGGCAAACATTTTGTCCTCACTGATACAGTGCCTGCAGATGGGAGTGATATACTTGGAAGGATTTTTTTATTTTTTTTTCAATCACCTACGCAATTAAAATATTAAAAGATGCAATATTCTTTGTTGGGCCACTGGTCCCTTGTTGTGGGAGGTAAGTGACTCTTTCTTTGCTGTGTATGAGTAAAAAGCTCACCAGCATCATTATGAATTTATCATCGGCCAGAAAGTGTGTAAGGCCACAATTTCAGTACAACGGTTATCCAAGTGTTGCTTACTGTGTTCACTGCCCTAAATCAACGAATAAATGTCCTGTTCATGTGAAGTTTCCAAAGTAACCTGGTGTTTACTTTATGTGCTCTACAAATTTGTAAAGAAACTGAGACGATTGTGTTGTTAGTATGAGGTGTCAGCAATAAAAAAAACATATTTTACTAGCATATGGAAAAATACAGACTGCATTTCATTCATTTCAGATTATTGAGTTATTGATCGTTTGTGGAGCTATCTCCAGGTTGAGGAAATGGTTTAAAAATGAAATCCTCACAACTTACATCCCAAATACACCAAACTTGTGTCTGTTTCCTGACAGACTGACATGACAGCATCCCAAAGCTAGGATGTTCAAAGAGAAGATGGATAGTTTTCCAGATCAAAACATGGAGCTGAGAGTTGACTGATAAAATCATGACAAAACTGCTTTTTTTTAAAAATAATTCTGAACTTGTAAATAGGTGGTGGGTGCATACCATCAAAAGAAGCACTATAGTCAGCGGTGAAACTCCTCATACAGATCTCTAAAAAAGGGTGTCTGATGTCTCATTTCCTGCTATATTAAATGATCCAACCCGCAACAACAAGCACACACACTTGAGCCCACCCTGATCAGCTAAAGAACAGAACTGCAGAACACCTTGCAGCTGACCAGAGGTGGACATCAGGATGAGTTCAGAACAACAGCAGAGAACTTCATGTTTTGTTTGTTTTCTTATTTAATTCCTTCTTACTCCAACCTCCCCTCTTAAAAATAGAAAAATGAAAATAAAAAATTAACAAGCAGCATAGTTCAGTCAATTTATTCCATCATCTGATGATCAGTTCTGCTGGCTCTGCCCCATGTTGCTTGGCATCAAATCAAAGTCATCTGCTCCAAACTTCAGTTATGATTCAACATAAGATGTCAAGAGAACCAATACTTTAGTGCCAAAATTCCTTTAAAAAAAGTGATCTGATGTTTGGTAGCTGGAGTGAAGATGCTGATAGATAGTGGACAACACAAACAACAAATCAACAAGTCTGCTGAGAGCACACAAACACCACCAGGTCTGTACAGAGACTTCCACAAGTTAGCTGTACATCACCACATGTCTGAAACAAGCTCAAGCTGAATGTCAAAGCTGATAGCGAAGTAAAAGTGCACATGAAAATCTGAATAGTCGATCATCCGTTAAAATAATGCAACGATTATTCGACCGAAACGGTTGCAGCCCTGCCACAAACACACAGTGACTGGTGTGCTACGTGACAGTAAAGCACACACCAGCAGCTCAGTCGCAGCAGTTTTTCCTCCTCAAACCTCCCGAGTTTCGCTGTGAAGCCGCAGCAGAGTTGCAAAAGTTGCAGAGAACAAAAGCAAGAAAAGCAAAGCAGAAAAAAGCGCAGTCTGCGTCCTGTCGCCAACTTCCTGAACAGATCTGCGCTGAGATTCAGACGCTGCAAGCGCCGCTTCGTCTTACCTTGTTGCACTTTGGTTCAGGAGACAAATCCGTGTGTTCTTCTCTGGTTTCCACATCGGCCTGTCACCGAGTCTCTTCAACGCTTCTCCTACTGTGAGACGCACGCACCGAACCGTAGCACGACTCCATTTGTTTCACCGACACAAGCTGCGGCTGCGTTCAGGGCTGGGACGAGTCTCAGCTCCTCCCGTCAAGCTCGACAACACGGACAGCAAACTGTTCCGGTGTCGTGCCACAATGATCGTCTGTCATGCTTTCATCTGGGGAGGACTGTCATAAAGAGGTCACCCCTTTTCACTTATCCTCAGGTTATGTATCTGCGTTATTTTACCAGATCTGCGTCCTAAACGACGACCAATCTACTTATAACATGAAATATCTTTCTTTTTTTTAAGTTATTTTTTTTGGGCCTTTTGGCCTTTATTTGATAGTACAATGACAGAAAAAGAGACAGAAAACTTGGGGAGAAGGACCCGTGGAAAAGGGCCATGAGCGGGATTCGAACCCACGACCTCCACATCGGGGACTGTAGCCCTATCCATGGGACACCAGGTCAACCAGGTGCGCTGTAACGTTGTGCCCAAACGTGAAATATCTTTGAGGGACAATTTCAACTGCAGTTTTCCACCTGCAAATAAGGGATTGCTGCCTCTACCTTGTGAATGAAATATGTACATCAAAAATGATTTCTCTTCATTCATGAAGGTTACATTTCTAAGAGCTCACAAGACAAGTAGAAACCAGATCATTCAAGATTCAATAGTGCTGATTTGACACACTTATGCAGCAAGGACAGTGGAATCCAAAGTGACTATTCCAGGAGGCTGTGAAGTAGCCAGACATGGTTAAAAAAAATCTTTATATAAAAGTAAAAACCAATGTTAATATTGTTAATTAAGTCTAAATCAGGATATTAGACACATGAAACACATATAGCCTAAACATCAGGAAAAAAATACAACAGTATCATCCATAATCATTCTAATGTCAGGCCTGATTACACTGTACATTTGTTTGGTCACAATTATTCAGTTATATGAAATGTTAATCTTTGCCGTGACCACAGACATAAAGTTGTGTGTATTTGCACATTATGACCCATCCAGACAGAAGCAGCTGCAGATGTTTACATATGTTTTTATTAACTGACTTTGAGATATACAAGGTATGTCTTTGCACATTTTTTACATCACAGTTTTGTCCCGTTTACATTTTACGCACTGCATATTTGCGATACAAATATATGACAAATATTTTATGAACTCACTCAATTTTCAGTATGTTTTAATAATTCTGTAGTTTTTGTGCCAAAAATGACGTTATATGTTCAGTGCTAGATGTGGGTTGTTGATTGTGAGTCTACCTGCTGTCACAAAGCAGTTTCCTGTAAAGGATCAATAATGCATCTGTCAATATCTGACCGAGCAATGAAGCTCACAATCAGGATCATTTTTTGCCATGTCACCAGTTACTATGTTCGTTACAGATCCCTGCTTAATAACAAACTTGTTGCACACAAAGACCAAAGCCAAGACCCTTCACAGGAGAACATCAACACTGTGTAGATGTTTTGGCAAGTTTTATTTTGAAGGGGCCATGATCACACTCCTGGTACTATTCTGTTGAACTTTCTATCTGTTGATCACAGGCATCCCTGAGGTGTGGAGTTAACAGATTTTGTTGTAGTTTAAAGTTTCATTCTGGATAAGTTGTGTGTTTCCTATAGGTTAACCTCATCCAAATGAATAAACAGCCTACACTGAGTATACTGGTGATTTTCTGTTTATAATCGCACAAATAAGATCATTTATGGATGTTCTCCCCAAAGTGATTTGGTGGTTACTGTAAAAAAGGATGACCTCTTGTGGTACAAGAAAGAAAGTACATCTTCAAGCAAAGTGACACAAGATCTGCTCATAGGAACACACTTAGAACTTAACAGCTCTCAAATGTACATAGACATTTTTCTTATAGTCCAGGCGACTAGTGCCAAACTTCAGGTGTTATGCTGTGGTAGTGAGAAAGCTGCAAACAGAAACACTGAAATCCAAGGAGTCAGCCCATGCTTAACAGATGTGCCTTCAACAAGCACTGAATCAGTCCTTGTATCATAAGGACAGAAAGAAGGATTGAGGTTTTAAAACTCATCCCAACATGCACACACGGACATGATATTCTAAAGTGTAGCCTACATCACAGATTTTCTTAATTCTCAGTGTCACTGTTGTCTATTTACCTGAACTATTCATGATGTTTTATAAGGTATCGTTGTAATCCTTGTCCATTTAAACATATAGGCAGACGGCACACAGAAAGTACAGTGGTGGTCAATAAGGAGTTTTTGCAAAGCTTCCATTTATGAAAATATTCAGAGCCCCAAACTTCACAAGTGCACCTTGTTTCATGCTTGAATCTACACCTTTTATTCATTTACTCTGCTACACTGAAAATGAAACCTCCGTATCTCAGTGTATCCCAGTTTAAGTAACGGCTGAATGAATGAGCATATATCACTTGGATAGTAACAGGTCCAGTAACACGTAACTGCAAAACCATTTGGGAAATGCAATACTTGACAGTAGCACAATGTATCTCAGAAGGAATATAATGTGTAAAGAAGGAATTCAGTGTAATGAATTTTTGGAGTATTAGAATGATTTAATCAAAAATGTAATACAAAGCAGAAAGTATACCACAACAGACATGCATGTACGAGGTGTGTCAGAAAAATTTCACGACTGGTGTCACAAAAGATATATTTAAAATCCAAACTACAAGTTTTCCTCTTCAAAGCAATCCCCCTGGAGTCTAACACACTTTCCCAGTCTTCTCTACCACGCCGCCATGCACTTCCACAATCTTCTGCAGCTCCATCGTCACAGCCATCTTGATGTAGTCTTCAAAACAGATCCCCTTGATGAAACCCTTGAGCTTGGGGAAGAGAAAAAAATCCCACAGAGCCAGGTGGGGTGAGTAGGGAGGTTGCTCCAGCACAGCAATGTTCTTCTCAGACAGGAACTGTCGGATGCTCAGGACATTGTGAGCAGGCTCGCTGTCATGGTGAAGCAGCCACGACTTGTCCTGCCACAACTCTCGCCTCTTCTCGCACCTGAACGAAGCAAACGCCACAGGATCTCTTTGTTGGTTGATCGTCTGAAGGGGAAAACTTGTAATTTGGGTTTGAAAAATATCTTTTGTGACACCAGTCCTGGAACTTGTCTGACACACTTCGTATACATTTGCCAGAGCAAGAGCACATGCAGGTGGCAAATCAAAGCATATTCACACAGAAATCAGAAGATTGGAAAGTCAGTATAACCAATCTCACTGACATAAATACAGTGTGACAATGTAGTCTTCCAAATATACAGACAGCTTCCTCACACTGTTGTCACCATAATTAGGCAGATAATATACACATTTACAAATATGCCGCCCTACTGTGTTACCACACTGAAAAAAACAAAGAAGCTAACTGAAAACTCATCTTGTTTTTTCACAACAGCATATAGCGGGTGAGGCCTCCCCCTCGGAGCTCCTTCAGGCGCTGACAGTGTCGCAGCATGTTCAGAATCCCTTGAAATCGTTTGTCCACCTTCGTTTGGGTAAATTCACGAATGTCATCCTCCACAATAAAATACTGACCTGCAAGACATTTTAATGCAACAGTGTTGTGTCCAAATCTTTGTACTCATGTCAAACGGAGTAGTTGTTTCTTAGCATCACTAGAGTGGTGCCACAAGAAGCCAAAAAACACCCCAACAAACAATACAGGGAATATAATTCAAATTCTACTGTATTGTTTGTTGAATACAACTGAGCACTTGTCTTTCTCAGGTCATCAAACATAACAGTTTTTATTTTAACATGTTGAATGGATATATAACGTTCAGAAGTCCAAGCACTGTTTGGGTGTTCTTCCCTGTCAAAATTGTCCTCATTGTGGGCTCATTTTTAACTGCAATATAAAGTCCAGCACATTTATTGAAACAGCACATTCAAGGCTAGAAGTAATAAGAACTCAAAAATATCTTCTGTGCAGTTTGAGAGTTATAACGCCATAAATAATAATTTTTTTTAAAAAAAAGGATCTAACATGTAGGACATTTTTCAAGTGCCAACAGGTGTTACCAGTATTTAAGTACTGACATTTTTAAAAACTTGGTGCTTTTACACCACCCAGGACAACTTACTCCTCTCTATACCATTTTTTTAAACCATGCTGCATTTATTTTAATGATCAAATACACTTTATTTTGCTCTGACACGCTCTCTTTTTTTGTGTAAACACAACCTTGCAGTTCACCTTTAACGTCAATGAAGTTTTGTTACGACTGCTGGTCAAAGCTGAATCGATAATGGAGTAGCTCAGAATTTTTTGTTAATCTACAGCAGGGGTGTCTAATCCTGGTCCTCGAGAGCCCCTATCCAGCATGTTTTAAATGTTTCTCTCTTCCAGCACACCTGATTCAAATGATCAGCTCATCATCAAGCTCTGCAGAAGCCTGATAACGATCCTGATCATGTGAATCAGGTGAACATCAATTTCTGTTGTTTTGTGGTTGTTATAAACTTGGAGGTGTCAAGTAAAAGTTGTTAAGATACAAAGATGTTTACTATTAGATATGCACTCCATTCCGTTAATGTGACGGCAACTGAACATGTCAGCTTCATGCCTGACTTTGCACTCGTCATTTTCCCGTAAACGTCAAGCGGTTGCCCTGTTAAGCTATAAAGACGTCTACTTCTGCCATTCCTC